ATTTTAGTGTTTTAGTGTTTCAGTGTTTTAGTGTTTCTGTATTTTAGTGTTTCTGTGTTTTAGTGTTTCAGTGTTTTGACATCAGCTGTTCTTGTCATTTTCTTGTTCTCTTGCAGCTTCAACATGTTTATGCTTTTAATGGTTTTTGTGTTTTCTCAGAGAAAATCTAGACTCCAGCTGTGGAATTATTTCTATTTCTGTCATGACCAGCTAGCTGGTGTGTGAAGCAGCAGCGGTGAACCACATGGTAGCATGTTATCAGCCGTCTGTGGGTGTGTTGAAGCACTACCTGTCGATGATGACCGGGTCTGATGGCGTCTCGTTCCTGTTTCCACAGCTCTTCTTGTCGCAGCAGCGGCTAACACAAAGAAGGACAAACAGCTCCATCAGATTAATCTTTAAAGAAGATGACCTGCAGACTGGCAGGCCTCTCTTCAGGAGGTCTTTGGCTTTACCAAAAAACAGTTAACATGCCAGGGTAGGTGGAAACATTTACTGAACAAGTTCTGATGTAGGAAACGCTTAACTGGTAGATTTGTGACTTTCCAAGGTAACAAAACCCAGGGAAACCCTCCATATTTTTATTTGTTTGAATAGAAACAGAGATATTGAGAATTCAGGAAAAACTTTTCCCCAGAACTTCTCCTCTAACTCAATTGTTTTTTTCTGTTCTTGTGACCCAAACATGGTGCAGAGAAGAGGGAGAGTGCTGGTACCAGTTAGGTCATAGAACGGTACCAACCAGGGAACTGACTGGCATCAGGTAACATTTGACTGGTACCTGCTGGTGTTCTGGTTCTTTACCAGTTCATTCATTTATTCCTAAGCTTTGAGTATAACTGGGGTTGGAGGTCTAACTCTAGTCTACAGGGTTTGGTTCTGGTTGTTTCCAGCTTGGAGAGCCTGCAGTCTCTTGGTCAGGTGAGTCCAGGTGTTCTTACCTGCACATGATCTCATGAGTGAGCAGGACTCGGCACATCTCTGGGTTCTTGTCCTGGCCCTCGTAGATGATGGCCTGAAATAGAGACTCGAGTTAGAGAGCAGGTTGAACCTTTGTCTCAATTAGGACTCATTGTTGGTGATTAGTGAGACTGAAGCAACAGGAAGGAGCAAGTTCCACTGGAGGCTCGAAGGAAGCAGCTGGAGCCAAACGTCTCCACTCAGAGCAGCGCTAAAGGCGCAATAAGTAAATGACTTGTTGGATTTAAGCGCTGGTGCTTTCCATTAGTGTCACAGTAGAAAGTGAAGATCACCTGCAGACTGGCAGGCCTCTCTTCAGGAGGTAGCTAACGGAGTCTCCTGCCACACAGAAACTGGTCCTGACTGCGCCCCCTGCAGGCTGGAGATCAGCTGATGATCAGAGCTTAAACTGATCATTTAAAGACTCCTTCCAGGAATATTCACAGGTTTCAAAATTTAAAGAGTTTGTGAATCATCTGTTGATTGAAGTGATCATGCGTATTGACTGTGATCAACTCTGATCAGACTGTGTGCAGTCTGATCAGAGGAGTTTCAGAGGGATGGAGTCAGCCTGTGGCTTCAGACACAGGTTGGTCTTTCTGCTGCCGCAGGTCAGGACTCCTCCAGCAGGGGGAACTGACCGCCTGCTGGGAACAGAAATTGGTGTCTGTGCTGCTTCACACACTTGACTTTTCAGTTTTTCAGTTTCATCGCGAAGAGCTTCTGTGCGTGAGCATGAACCCGACCAGATGTTTGCTGAGGAGGTGAAACTGGAACAAACCGGTTCTGGTCCAACAGAGCCAGAGCTGAAAACCACAGAGTCAACAAACACACCACTCCATCCAATATCAACCAGTACTGACCAGAACTGACGAGTTCCAACCAGAACACACACCAACATGACCAGTACACACAACCAGTACCGACCAGAACTGACGAGTACCAACCAGAACACACACACCAACACCAGAACTACATATTAGCTCGGTGTGAGGTGAATTTTATTTTTTGTTTAAATTTAAAAAATAATAAAGTTCATGATCAGAGTCTTTATCATTATGTTTGGGGCAGCAATACTTTTTTTATAAGACAAAATAAAATATCTGGGTTTATTTAATCCATCAGAACCAGAACCTCGAGGTTCTCCGTTCTGAGTGTCGCTGCAAATCAGCGGAGAAATATGGAGAATCTCCCCACTGGACCAGAACCGAACCGAACCGCATATTAATCTGTTACAGAGAGCAACTTACCACTGGAAAGTGTCTTAAGATGCCCTTGTGAAGCTCGGGGAACTGTTGTGCTGTTCATAGCTGTACTCTAATAATCCGACCAGGTGTAGTTTGTGGCTGCAGCAGCAGGTGTGTTTTGAATGTGCTCCCGAAACAAAAAGGCAGAGTTTCTGTGGTAAGCGGTAGTTTTCATCGCCTACCGACAGATAAGGAAACAAAAAAGAATTTGACTAAAAGCTCTAAACTTGAAGAGAGAACCCAAAATGCTTTATGTGTGCTCACTGTATTGTGTGGACAACAAGCCAGTGGAGAAAAACCCGCATCTGCATCCGAAGCAACTGAGTCAGTGAAGTAGCTAAATATGCTAGTGCGGGTTATTTGCGGCCATTTCTTCAAGTCGCCATCCCTCCCCGCATTAGCTGTAGGTAGCAGTAAAAGAATATTGCCGCATTTAAGCTGTGATAGCTGGAGTTCCCACATATTTTATAGCCTAAAACCTCTGTGGAAAGCCGGTTAGAGAGTTGCTAACATGTAAACAAATGGCGGTTCCGGGTTGCGGCGGAAGTCGCGCCTATGAATCACGCAAAGCCTCATGGGGGTTCGGAATAAAGGGATGGGGGAAAGTTTGGACATTTCCAAGGTCCCCTGACTGCCAGGGTCCCCCTAAAAGAAGATTAAAAAAAAAAAAAAAAGTATTTAAATATGTTGGGGGGGCCCTCTCAATAATAACACTGATGGCTGTGTTCTTACTTGTTTTATCCTGTAAAAGTTAAATGTTACCACTTACAGACAAAAAGCAAACTTCCATATTTAGTGAACGCCCCCCGTTTCTGATTGAAATTGTTCTGCTTTAGCGTTTGACGGTGTTTAGTAGCAGACAGAATGAGAACCACACAAATAATAACGATGCTGCTTTGAAATATAAAACAGGTTTTTAAAAAGGAGAGAGAAAAAATAAAAAGAAGAAATAAAGCATGTTAATCTGTTACACAGTTTTTCACCTTGAGAGGTGAGTGACTATCTACCTGTTAGCTTAGCGACCGACGAGTGTTAGCTTCCGTTTGTCTAACATCTCATTAGTCAAAGGAAATACTTAGCAAGATATAAATTCATATATTAAGTTGTCGTTGTACCTTTTACCACATTTACCAGCAGACGAGTCTGAGTCAGCAGCGGTCCTGACCCCCAGACCAGCCTGCCTCCTCCCGGGATGAAGGTGAGCAACTACGACATGCTAGGCTAGTTAGCATCAGAATAGCACCGGTCCAGTCTGACTGATGGGCCAGATGTAAGCAAGAACGATTTTTACAGCCGAGTGGCTGAGATATTAATGGAAAAGAGATAGGCACATGGACGTTATAAATAATGTGAGATCATACACAATTTGTAATTTTATTAAAGAAGAGAGAGAGAGAGAGAGAGAGAGAGAGGGAGAGATGAGCCAAAGAAAACATTTTAATCGTTCAAGTAATCAAATTTGACCTCATTAAATATTCATTATTTTTTCTCGCTATGGCATTATTCTACAGAATGGAACCTATTAAAACATAATTTCAAACCAAATAAAGGTTTCAGTTAAGGTAAAAATCTAAATGTATAAGCTTCTGAGTTGGGATTTTTATGCCTGACTTCAGAGGAATCAGTTCTCCAGTCCACAACCAAACCCAGCGGCTCGGTTCCGGTTCCGGGTGAGTCAGGCTGATCCGGACCCAGACAGCGGTCTGATCTGCTGTTTTCACCATAGTTTTCACTACTTTCATATGATAGCATATTTTACTTTAGTTAGACGTTTTAATTTTATAAATGTTATAGTTATTAATTTAGTGTTTCTGTTTTTTATATTTCAAGAATATTTAGAAAGTATTTGTTTTGATTTTTTTAAACATATAAAGTTATGACGTTTTATATCTGCTTTTAACCTTGCTTCAAGTAGTGAATTACCATACAGAACCAGAACCAACAAGAACACACACACCAACAGAACCAGTGGAAATAGTGTGCAGTTCGTCCGAACTGTCAGAACTCTTTAATAAAATCAGTTCTTTGCTAGAAACATGAGAAGTAAATGAAACCACAGAAAATTTCCATTTGGTGTTCAGTGGGAAGTTTTTCTCCTGTCGTCAGCTTAAATCTCCCTGAAGAACAGGAACTTAATAATATGGAGAGGAGGAAGATGAACTTCCTGAACCGCTCACCTGTTTGGTCATGGAGTCGATGAGTCGGACGTAGAGGTCTTGCTCCGTTCGGACACCTGAACTCAGAAATCGGCCATGTTCAAGTTGGTCTGCAGGCTTCAGCTGCTCTGTACAGTGAAAGAAGTGCACCTACCGTTGCTGTAAAGTAGCTGCAGCTTGTAATGAATCCCGTTGTTGGTTTTCTCTCCGCTCGGCTCCTAAAACAACAGAAGAAGAACGCTCATTCAGCCTGCAGTTTGTTTAAGACGCGCTGACCTCCAAGCTCACAGTTCATGTTTTTATCCATCTATTAGATTTCAGGGTGCGTTTGTTTTATAAGTTGCCAGATGTTTGGGGGTTTCTGTCACCTGGCAGGTGCATCTGCTTTTCTGATGTCCAGTGGGTGTGTTTGGTTTGTGTCACAGCTCCTCCCTGCCTTTGTCTGACTCACCTTTTCTTTCTCCACAAAGTCGACATATGTGGTGCGTTCGATCTCAACGGGCTGCCCCTGCCGGTCGTACAGCGCCAGAACGAAGTGGAAGAAATTGGATTTCCTCAGGTTGGACGGCGGCTGCTTCTCAAAGTGAGCTCGCGCTAACCCCACCCCGCTGGAACACACACGAGCAGAAAAATCACCTAAAATACTGTTTTATAGATTTTACATGTAACATAACACATTTTTATTTTATACAGTCAATTCATCTTTCATACAAAAAAGCAGCTCAGAGATGAGACAGAAACCTACATTTATAAGAATAAAGTTCAGTTTAAATTGTGTTTTTAAAATAAATCCTCACATTTGTTTTTATCTGCAACATCTGTAGAGTATTTGCAGTGATGTTTTCAGAACCAGAATGCATTTTTCTGAAGCTTCATCTAAAACATCATCGTGACACTGGTGACCAGTAAAAATCCACCAGTTTGGAAAGCGGCTGCCGCAGCGCGGCATGAATGGAGCGCTCCTCTGAGGACAGTCTGCAGGTCGCCACACCTGGCTGCACGCATCAGAAACGTGTTTGGGATGCGCGTTGGCGCCTTTGATTAGTTTGTGTGTGGCGATGAAAGCACGGCTTCAGGTCTAGTCAAAGGAAATAAAGTTAAGAATCACAGTGGAGTCACGACTGATTAATATTCATGGAGATGAAGTCAAACTGCAGCTTCGACCCCGACAGTAAATCTGCTCCTCATTATAATATGACTGAGAACACCAGGAGCGCTTGTTTCACACACACACACACACACACACTTCAATATTTAATAATGTTCATGAAATATAAAAATCAGCAGTGGACACAAACACACTGAAACATTTGGTCAATAAATAATTTTAAATCCTCAGAATAAATCAGCTAAATGATTTTATTAAAACAGATATTTTAAATGTTAAATATTTACTTTAAACCTTAAAGTCATAATTGTTTCTATAATTGTTCTGGGATTAGATTTTCCATAAAGTGAATAATAAGCTGTATTATTAAAGGGTTGTGTGATTATAATAATTACTGTGCAGAATCACATTAAGGTTCAATTTGGACTTTACTGTATAATCCCAGAAATAATCAGCCGCTCACAGTCAGGTGCTAAAGAATCTTTTATTTCTCAATGTGGAAAATAATTTTCTTTTCAGATTAAATTAATTTAGATTCATTGAGGTTTTATTTAGCTCAGTGTCATTTTATTTAATGTAAACAAACACATTTGATATTCATTTTAATATTTTTACTTGAAAATAAAAAGACTGACTTAAAATAAATGTTCCTGAATGTAAATCTTTTATTCTATTTTAGTTTTCTTTTTGCTCTGCAGACCTGAATCTTTGTGTTAATATTTCAAAGGGATTTGAATGATTTTATTTATTTTAATTGAAGTTCAGTGTAGTGAATAATTCAAGCTGAGATGAAACGATGTTCAAACGCAGCCGCTGCAAAGAAGTCCAGCCTGCTCCACTTACAAAATAGAAATATATGCAGATTTTTAAAAATAATTAGAAGAAAAATCATTTTAATAACTTGCTATAAATGTTTTTTCCTTCACAGGAATAAAAATCATCTCAGATTTGAGGAGAACTTCTATTTTTTATTTATGTAATGTTTGTTTCCCCAGAAAAGTCCCATAAAGATTCAAAATCTCTTTTCTGGTGAAAACTGGCAGCCAAGTTAAAACACCATAAATAAATTAATTTAAAGATTCCTCAGGAAAAACATTTACAGCCTTCTCAAAATCAAATGTATTTTTCTCTCAAATATAAAAAAATACATAAACATATATACATATTTATTTTGTCTGCATTTCAAACGTAGCACACATTCTGACCTGATAATTTTTAAAATCAGGAAAACTTTCATTTTTAATTAAAACAGTTTTTCATTTTGTGTTAACCAGATTTTTTCCTCCATTTGCAGAATAATAAATATTAACATTAAGTTTCAGCAGACGGTCAGTGGACTGATTTTGTCTGAGGAGAATGAATTTTTCCCATCTGTAAACATCGGAGCAGAGAGCTGGGACTCCAGCTCCCAGAATCCCCTGGGGCGGCAGCAGCTTACCTCTGAGCGGCGGTGTTGGCGTCCACCACGCCGGCCGAGTGCATCCAGGAGCGGACGGCCAGCGGCTCCTCCTTCAGGCCGGCCGCGGCGCCGCGAGGCAGGCTGTCCTGGATCCCAAACATCTCCCAACAAAAAAACACCAGAAGAAGAAGAGCTGGACTGGAGGAACGCAGCGCTACTGGACGGAGCGCAGCTTCAGGGCGGAAGACATTTTAATAATGGAGGACTAAGAGCAAAAACTGGGAGATCTGAAAAGTTCTTTATTGGCTTCAGAACTTTCTGTTTTTCTCTTTTATTCAACTTTAGGCGATGGAAGGACAAAAAAAAGATTCAACAGTCGGCCGACATGATGAACCCGCAGAGGAGAGGAGGAGGAGGAAGAGAGGAAGAATCCTCAGAGGAAACACTTCGGACGGCGAATCGAAGCCCAGCGCTCGGCTTTTCCCCAAAGAGAGCAGCGAGGCGGCCGCCCGGGACGGACCACAAACTCTCAGCCCTGCGGCCCCACAGGACTGGACGGCAGAACCCAAAAACCCCACGGGTCTTCCTCCCAGCCGCTGACATCACGGCGGGGGCGGGGCCTGGACCCACAGAGGGAGAGAGAGAGAGAGAGAGGGGGGCAGGGGGGCGACACGCTGACGGAGCAGTGTGTGTGCTGCACCAGTCCCACCAGTTACTGAACTGGTTCCCATGGAAACGCAGCGCCAGAACCCATCAGGACCTCCGAGGTCCGACGGGTCAGAGGATCGATTCTTCAAACAGCAAGCCGGACCCGAACCAGAAATAAACCAAATCAGAACCTAAGCAAACCAGAACCATCTGCACCGGAACCAAACTGAACTAGAACCAAACTGCATACGGAACCCAAACGGTTCCAGGAGAATTCTGAACCTGAGCAACAGAAGATCTCAGAGTTCTGTGAAAACCCAACAGAACCCTGACTGGTACCGCTGACCCAGAAGAACCTGAATCTGCTGATGAACCGGGTCACTGCTGGAACAACCCAGAACCGTCGCCTGGATCACGTGTTCTGGTCGTGTCTCTAGTTCTGGACGGGCCAGAGGAAGATGCCAGGACCGAATATCTGAGGTCAGAGGTCATCGCTGAAGAACCGGGTCAGAATCCGGGAGGTCCAAATCCAAGTTCTGCACAAAACCCAACGTTGACCCGGACAAGAAGATCCAGGACCCGGTTCTGTCCAGCAGCGCCGAGGTCCACAGAACCTCCCTGAGCGGGTCGGGAGGGGAGGTCCGATCAGGTCAGAACCTCTGCTGACGGCTTCCTCCATCCTTATGTTCAGACTGGAGAAACAGAACCGCGGCTGCAGCAGCCGCTGCGCCTCGTTACGTTCAGCTGATTAACTCCGAACCGTCAGACAGGAAGCGAGAAAAGGCTTTTCACAGCCGGGGCGCTCCGGCCCACCGCCGCTCCACTGGGGCCTCCGAGGCTCCGAGGGGCGGGCCGAGGAGGAAGACGAGGAGGAGGAGGAGGAGGAGGAGGAGGGGTGCGCCGGGCCTCAAGCAAAAACCACAAATTACTCACCAGTTTCACTTTATCTGGGTTCTAATTTAAATAAAATAGTTTTTAATATTTTCTGCTTTCCCCCATTTCTCTGAAGCTGCAGAGATGGGAGCTGCACTGAATGAATTCCTCAGATTAAATCCTGGAACTTCAGATTAATTCAGAGCAAATTATTTGGAGACAGGAATTTCATTCTGAGAATGTTCATCAGGAAAACAGAGATATTCTGGATCTGATCTCATTTCCATAAAGAGAAACCGTGTTAGTGTCGGCGCTCCATCCATCAGCTGCAGCCGGCGGACAAATTATTCCTGATTTCATTTCCCCGTCTGCCGCCGGGTCCTGCAGCCGCGCCGACAGGCTGCAGCTCCCAAATACATAAAACCAGGAAATTCTCTGACTTAAAACTACATTTTATAGAAGTAATTTTATTTCAGATAAATTTTTATAAATGTTATATTTTAATTACTTTTTATTAGTTGAAAAATGTCAATGTGACATTTAAATAAAGCTGTAAAGAATTTGAAATAAAATATTGTTTTTCTGCCGAGTGTATGTGTGTGTGTGTGTGTGTGTGTGTGTGTGTGTGTGTGTGTGTGAGAGAGAGATGCAGCACACACACATTTGCATTTAAATAGCGACATCAACCAGCGTTCATGGCAGCACACCGGAGGGTTTCCCAGATGTCACGGCAAAGTCAGACGAGCCAGCTGTCTCTCTCACACACACACACACACACACACACTCGGTTGAGTCGGTGAGAACCACTGACTCGTGTTCAGGTTAAAAAGCAGCATTTAAACTGTGTAATCTGGGATTAGAACAATTGAACTCTTGCGTTGCTGCCAGGCTGCTTCCCTCCATCGGCGTATCGGCTGAAAGGAGCTGCGGCGTTTCCTGCGACGCAGACCTCAGTGATCTGTTGAAGTGATCTGGATCAGCAGCTGTTCAGCTCTGGAAACGTCTCTCAGGGCCGATTTCTGTAGATGGAGTCCAGGCCTCGGTCCAAACCTCCACCCTACCAGGACAAATGGTTCCCTAAAACCAAACTGGCGGACAGACGTCATTCCTGAAAACTTTCCATCGGTTGACCTGAAATTCACTGTTCAAAATGTGGGATTAAATCCAGACAGGCCTGGATCAGGACCTGGATGATCCTTCAGATGCTGCACTGCGTTCCTGAGCGAAGCTCTCTGCGTTTCAGGCGGACCCAGCAGCGCGGCTCCTGCTCTGATTAGTTCATTAGGTGAAGAGAGAGATCAGCAGAGAGTAAGCTTTGACCGTCTACATTGATATTTTACCTCTTTAATCCTGTTACCATCAAGTCAGACACATTTTCTACTCTCATCTCAAAAAGCCACAGGAAGAGTGAAAAACTGAAACACTGAAAGCTCAAGTTTTCTTGGACAGAAGTCAGCTTGAGCATCTAGGGAAGCACAATATATTGGCACCAACATCTGTATCGGTCCGATGAATTAAACCAGGCCGATACCAACCGATATTTCTTCCCATCCTGCTGCCGTTTGTTACTGTTAGACGGGGGGGGGAGGGGCTGAATGACGACGATTCAGACGTTTGATCTAGAAGCGCAGCCAGGCATTACAGGACAGCAGCTCAGAGCAACCAGGCGCCCCACACATGCTTTCTTGGGGTTCATCATTGAGGCGTGTTTGACCCAGACCAGGCGGTTGATCAGGAGTCGTTCAGAACCCGGGAAGAACCAGATTCCAGCTTTACTCTCAGATCTTCTTTGGTATATGATCGGCTGGAGGAAACTTTCCAGCTGCATGGCAGACTTTCTTCCTCAGATGCCCGCCATCATCAGCTCCACCTCTAGATGCCAGTTATATCCTAAATCAGTGTTTTTCAACCACTGTTCCGCGGCACACTAGTGTGCCGTGG